CCCGGGGTGCCGGACAGCCGGCAGGGTAGAGATACTCCGGTGTTACTACGGTTCCTTCCTTGCTGCATCTTCGGCTCAGTCCCTGGTGCACCTCCACCGCTGGTCTCTGTACTAGGGCCTCCCTCTGCAGCCCACGCCGGAGCCCTCCGGCTGCTCTGGGGGGTGCTTCTCGGACCAGGGGCCAAACGCCACCTGCCCCGGGCCCCAGGCAACGAAATGGCACCTGGGCAAAAGGTGGTTGCAATATAATTTGCATTTTAATCCGAAAAAAAGGGTATACAGTGCAGAAACATTTCTCCAAAGCAAGGCAAGGCAATATGTGTTAATGCTCCAGAGTGGTTTTACTGTAACGGATTCCACCACCTACCATTAATCTTCCCTCTGCAGACCAACTTCAGAGGAAATGCCTATTTCTTCACTGGGTCACAGTACAGGACTTCTGCAGCTACAGAAATACCTATAAGCACAGGCATAGGACACAGGTTGAGCTGTGTGTGCCATTAACGCCCGTCTGCTTCTTGAACCTTGGGAAGATTTATTCTCCCCTATGGCTACTAAGTCATATATATGATTTTACGCATGAGGATACCACAGGCAGTTTCTTTCTCCAGCATTTATATTAATACAAATTAAAGGCCATGGCTGTACAGACAATCTGTATCTTCGTTCCAAAGTCTAAATCCATACATAAAGAGGTGTATTTACTTATTACATATTACTGTAAGGGTGAGTTAATTAGAAAATGCTCTGAGAACAGAACTAATACAGACCCATTTTTTGTACCCAATGTATATACATTCTATGATACATCAGGTAGCCATAATATATAAAACCTACATAATACTTTCCAAGCACGAATCTTGGTTGCCAAAATTTTTTTTCATCTTTACTCAGACTGCAAAATCCAAATGTTACCACCTCTGGAACAGTTGCTTTATATGTAATGTCCAAAGTCAGGCACCAGATAGTAACATAGGGCATTTCAAAGTCAAGTAAATTAACATTTGTGTTACAAGACAAAAAACCCAGACAGACAGATAGGAAGTTCTTAGGGGTCAATGACTGGTGCAATGATTCATTCAGAATCATCGCCTCACAATCCGTCATATCCTCTTTCTGGAAATTATACAGCCCACTCTACAAACTAAAAATAATATGCATTCTCTCATTGCGTGTACTTAACTGCTCAGTATTAGCACACAGTAGTAGAGGGGAAGTTCTGTGCTATTATAAATGCATAGACTCATTGTTTAATCTCAGAAAGAAACTTCAAAGTAGTAGTTTACATCAGTACCTGTTTAGCGTTTAAAAAAAAAACCAAAACCACAAACAAAAAAACCAAACCACCACCACCAAAATGCCCATTGCCTTAAATGTTTAAGTTCTTCCTGCGGGAATAAAAAGGGAAACGGAGAGTAGGCTGCTATGTGGATTCATGGGAGTACCAGCCTCTTTCAGTCACATTTGATCCTTTTCTTTCCATTTTATGGCCAGTCCCAACTGCTGACTATCTTTCCCTTAGCAACAGCTTGCCAGATTACTGTTCTAGCACCATGTTTTTGAAACCAGTAATAATATCCTTATAGATACCTATTATATAATTATAGCTGTATTTCTATACTGAAATAGGTTATTTCCCTCAAATTCCATTTGCACTGGGACCAGCCCCTTTACATTAGCAGAAATATTTCTGCTCTTAGAGGTTGTATCATTTAACTGTTTTGACAAAGGGTCTTAGCTGATAGTTTAACCAGAACAAAACTGTGCATAGACCAGGCAACACACACTCCCTCCCTTCCCTCTAACTAACATGTATTGTGAGGACTGCCACGTCTGTGTCATCCCCAGCAAAAATCAGAGAACGGCAATACAAATTCTTGTTAGCACCCTCTTCTCAGGCACCAGGAATGCTCCCCTGTGTTGCTGCCTTTCACTTTACTGCACAGTAGGAGATAGATGACTTCCCAGGCCACAGAAGATGACAGCACAATGCCTACTCATGTCCTAACAGAATTCAAGTCTGTACAGTGTCTTTATTATTAACTTCACTGTTTGGAACTTTCATCAATTGCTAGTAAAAGTCCCAGGAATGAGAAAGGCCAAGTAATAAACACAGCAGGGAAGAAACAATTATTTCTATTTCTTATTTTTAAAAAGTATAAAAATTCTGTACATTTGGCAAAAGCTTTTAAAATCAGTCATACGAAACTGCTGGGCTACTCCATTTCCTTTCGGTAAGAATCAGAGACATTAGGCAGTTGAACAGTTTGTCACTAATCTGACTGAACACACAGGCCTTGAAATGTAATACTAAATGCCAGTTGAAGTATTCTGGTCCATCTCAGTTGAAACAATAATCAAAAGAATTATTTTCTCCTCTGCTTTTAACTGTTCAAATATGCAAGCTTTTTTATAGTTTGGCAGTTCAGTAAAATACTGCATGGTTTAAATGCTATAGAAACACATTAAGTTTCTGTACACTTTTTCTACAAATATGCACATACAAGGAAGGAGCAGTCTTAACCTATGATGAGTTCTTAACATCCAAAATATAGTATGATTTTAGTTTTCCATATGGGCGTACCCTTGTATGTCAGACAACATATCAGTGTCTTTTTTCCAGGCAACAACAGTGCTAAAACCAATGTATTTGTTGAAGAGGGTAACAGGTTAAACTCTGCCAGCCTCCATTCATTACTTTTCACTTGCCAACAACCCAAGCAGAGCAAAACATAAACTACCAGTTATATTCATCAGAGACATCAACTATCCTCAGCGAGAATCTCAGGATATTCCTCCCAGAACTGGTCCCCAATAATGTCACAGTGCAGGGGAACAACTTTAGTCCTAGTCCGGGTCACTTCAACTTCCTTTTCTTCTGCTTCCTTTGGCAGTTTTATTTTCTTAGTCATGACTTCATTAATCTGAAAATACAGTTGACACATTAGCAGATATATAAAACTCCAGAGGGGATTCACAATTGGACAAGAAGCAAAGCTACAACAAAAGCAACTATCAGCCCTATAGCATAATATAGAATGTGGACACTGCACCTTTTGAAAGGGAGTCTATTCTCAATTCAAAGATTACCACATGAGCAGTTCAAACTGCATGACATCATCACATGGCTTGAAGAAATTACCCACAAATTCACATAACTTATTGCAAGTACTCTTGAGTAAAGTACAATATTTAATTTGGAGCTACATAAAGCAAATGGGAAATCTTGCAGATGTCTACAGTTAGCAAGAAAAAAATATGCATAAGTAAAAAGTGGAAAATATTTCCAGGTGGGAGCCTCTATCTGTTCTAATTAGTTCCAATGAAGTAGAAGAAATTGTTGGCCAAAATTTAAATAAAAGAGAAAAGAAAGCATTATCTTTTTTTTACATATAGAAGACAACAGGCTGAGCAAGTTAGGCAGACCTCTTAACGTAGACAGATGGGGGCCTGATCACACGAAACACACATATTTCTAGTTAAGATCTCCTAGTAGAGAAGGACACTAAGGCCATAAACATTTATGATTTTCTGGGGTCTCATCTCATACAAAACACAGGACAGAACTTTCTTCCACTGCTTCTGGATCAATGATGTCATCCTAGAATGATGAACATTTCCAAGTCATCATTAAATGGAATTCCCCATTAACAGTCTGCACTCCTTACTATGCTTCTCTACAGAAGGAGGAGAGGACTAACCATACTATGAGCTGAGCTACCTTACTGAATGAAAGTTTGTAATTCCTTTGCAGTGGAAATACTTGGGATCTAATCCTGTGAAGAGCCTGGCACAGGCCCCAGTGATTACCATATCAAACTGACAACAGTCATTAAAATGTCACTTTTCAGGAAGCAGAATACTTCCTTAATTTTCAAAGCTGGTAACACTAAGAAACCAACTGTATGATTCATTAAACAAGGGAGATTTATCTAGCAAATACATCAGTCTTGTGAAATTCTACATATACATTGTCATCTGTTGATTTACATTTTATCTCAACAGTCATAATTTGTATCTAAGCCAGACTTCAGAGACTAGTTTTTATACTACACTCATAGATACAGATATCTCAGAAACATCTCCAAAACAATTAGTCACCTTACACATCATTATATGGCCAATATGGTTAGTTTTAAAATATATTTATATATAGACATACATTTGGGATACATCTGGAGATCTTACATTGTAGCTTGTCTGCCACAGTATACGTTAAAACATGAGCATGAAGCAAGTGATAATACAGTTTTTTACCTTCTGCCATATCAAGACAGTTCCTTTTCTATACATCAAAGGTTCATTGTTGTAGTTGATGTTGAATTCAGAAAACAAGATTTCATTCTTATCTCCAGCCAAAGTTCCCTGAGAGGAAATGAAAAAGTACTCTTACAGAAAACAAACACACAAACTGAATCTCTAGGGTAGAAGGTAAGTGAATATTGGAGGCAAGACTGACATTGATACAGGTTTTTCACCTTTAAATTACAAGGTTCAATTACCACTCCCAAAAGAGGAATTATTTCCAACTGCTAAATGAGGATATTAAAACACAGAGGTTCTCTTACTACATTTTCAAGATGAATAGAAGAAAGTCAGCAGACTCCAGGAGAAAACAGAAGTAATCTGCTGATGTCGGCACAATGAGACAAAATACTACAGAAGGGACTGGGAATCAATAGTAGCTGAATCCTGCCGTTGCACTTCACATGTATGGATACTGGATGTTTATATGACATTTCTAAGATTTCTAAACTTGCTAATTAAGAAATTAAAATCCTGCTAATATTTGACCAAATATATATTATTTTCTAATCATATTAACATCTGTACAGTTCAAGAAATTGTTGAATCTACACCCACAAAATTATTACAGTAAGAACAGACAAGCCAGCCAGGGCTGCTTGGTAGGCAAGACACAGCTTTGCATATATTATGATTTTCTTTGTAGCTGGAAAAAAACATGACCTCAAGAGACTCTTACCTGGAGTCTATCCTGGGCTTGCACTGGTGTCAAACCACTTCGCTGTACAAGCATCCAAAACACTGTATTATAAAGGTTATTAATATGGCCTACAGAAAAAGAGAAGAGTATTTACTGAATCTGAGTGACTACTCAGAAAAAACAGCTTTATTTTCAGAGTCATATTCAAGAAACAGCCAAGAATAAAGGAGAATTAATAATATCAGTTGCTAGAGAAGATAAAATCTTTCTGATCCATTTAAAAGCTACAGCACATCATACAAATGACTAGAAGACAGATTTCATTACAATTCTGAAAAGGGAGAGCAGAGGGTGAAGGGTGTTTATGTGCAAGATAAATTATCTTCATTTGAGGAACAGGGACTAGGTACTAACAAAAGTCTAGAAAGTAAATCCAATGGTCTGTTCTAGCATGGAATATACAGCACTCTGCATTGCTACATGGTGTGAATTTGAACATTCACATGTCTTCATTAAAGAAGAACACCTTGGCTAACAAACCTGGAACATAAAAAATAATAAATTAATTCTATTAATAATTCTAATATTTCCTGTGCTGAACTTACTCGTGGGATGCAACAAATATAGTTGGAGCATGAAGACTCAGAATTTCAGCCAGTATTTCTGTACCCATACAAAGCACAAAGCAATTCTAACATTGTTTATTTAAAGCTCCCACCCTACCTGCTGTTCTTTCACTGATACCTATATATACAAATATATATAAATACACAAATGGCAATAAAGGCATTTCTATTCAGACAGGAAGAGAACTCAACGGCACAAATCTCGGTTTTCTAGAAATGCTTACAATCTGCTTGTCTCCAGCTGAGGTAGTCCTTTAAATTTTGGTTGCTGGGATACAACACAATTCGTCCATCAAATCCTGGTGGGTACAGAAGTTGCTGGTCCTTAAAGTAATCCTTCCAATAGAAAACGTAACTTGAGGCAAACTGGGAGACCACATGAGTCATGAACTTACTTGCAAACACAAAGCAAAAGGAAAAAGAAAGAAATACATCAATATGATTACATATCTGTGATTATCTAAGGTATTATTAGCAATAATTCTGGTGGATAGCAGCATTTCTTAAATAATGGCCCAACAGATCAGCAATGGCACAGAGTCTTTTGAAGAACAGGAAGTACTGAGAATCAAGTAGGAGTTTGGAAGAGAATTTGTTTTTCTTAAAAGAATGTTTGTTTCTAATATTTGTTTCATCAAAACATTTTTAAAAAACTCTGTATCCTATTTTCCTGAAAGATCACATGCAAAGAGTTCACATGAAGAACCTGAACTAATTGTACCATATGCACCCAAACACAGCTCTAGTCCTAACCTCTATGTGTAGATAAAGGCAAATCTAAACAAGAATTACAGGTTTAGAGAGAGATGTTAACAAGTTCACTACAGTATCAAAATAGCTGTTACCTTGCTCTTCTTTTAAACCATCTACTCTTCTTTTTGAAAACAAAACTATACTCATCACTCTGTCCGTAAGCAATAGCAATATCCTCCAATTCTTGCATCACTGTCTGGGCACACTTGGTCATCAGATGAAGAGCACGGTCATCATTTGGCTTTTTGAACTCATGCTGCTCAGAAAACCTTCAAAGCAAAAATGGTTGAATAAGAATCCCTTTAAAAGCTACTAAAAAAATGCTAACCCATTAATTTTCCTCATATTTGGTTTCTATGAATATTGATTTCCAGTATCCTGTCAATATTGACAGAGAATTCCCTCCAGATATGAAAAGCAATTAACAAAAAACCTCTTTTTATAAACTCTGGATAACCCATTCTCTTTCCCATCAGTATCTCACCCTATCCAGTCCTTCAAAATGACTGGTTTGCGTATTTTATTTGGAAAAGGATGACAAATACGACTTTCTGTAAACTCACTTTCTTCTGGGGTGCCTTTTATGCTTAATCCGATAAGGGCAACATTATCGATAAACTTGTCAAAACTTGAGAGCTTTACCAGAACCCCACATGACCAAACCAGAGATCAAATCCCCAGCGAGCACATGTGTCACCTACCACTCGAGAGAACTGTGCTCTTTTTATCCCAAAGAAAGGCAATTGCCACACAGACATTGAACACACCCACAAACAAATATCCCTGTAAACCAGTTGCTGTCCAGTACACTCAAGGCACTGGCATACCATTTCCCTACCACCCTGCCAAAAGCTGCCCGTGGCTCTGGAAGACAAAACACCAGCAGTAATCCCGTGCCCTGGAGAAGCTGAGTGAAGGGTTCATGGGGATTAGAGTGGAAAGGAGGATTTGTAACCCCTGCACCTGCAGAATCCACACAGGTCGGGCAGGGAACACCCAAGGCTAACGGCACGGCACTAGTCAGGATCCCTCTTCTCGGCACAGCACTCAGAGCCCACAACCCCAGTGCCTTTAGGCCCAGGAAACTCCCTCCCGTGCCCCGCCGTACCCCAGCCCCCGTTCTCCTGCTTTCTGAGGCGTCGCCATAGCGACCACACTGCTATAAGCGCCCCGGCCATTGGCCCTCAGCCCGGCCTTCACCTGTGGAAGTTGCGGCCGTCCAGCCGGACCACTATCCAGCAGTTGGGCAGACAGGTGTCGTCCGTCTCGAAGTCCCGCACATACTCGAACTTGCTTTTCGCCATAGAGAGGCGGCGACGGCCGCGCAGGCAGCCCGCCCACCGCCCGCTCCCCACAGAGATGGCTGATGCAGCCCGCCAGCAACCCAGCATGACGGAAGCGGAAGCAG